TCTCTCTCTCTCTCTCTCTCTCTCTCTCTTTCTCTCTCTCTCTCTCTCTCTCTCTCTCTCTCTCTCTCTCTCTCTCTCTCTCTCTCTTTCACAATACTTTTTGCAATCTTTATTCCTCCCGCCTTCGTCCCTAGGCCTAGAAACCAGGATACCGGCTTTCGTCTTAGCACAAAAGGGAGGAAAAAAATCGAAACAAAAGTACAGTCCTCGTTGACACTTTTTTTTTCCTTTTCTTAAAGAGGGATTGGCCGGGCCTTTCAGTGAGGTATTATACGGATATTGGTAATGTTTTTTTTTTTTTGTTTATGGATATGGAGAACATGTCCATCGCTAGTATTGTTTAGATGTATGATTCTCTTTATTTGCTTAGCACTTGAATTCCACTTTTATTCTTTTATTACAGAAAATTGTCACTTCTAAAATTATCTCAGCTGAGTGGCAACGGCGCTGGCGATTACGTAGTAACTTTGTAGAGCTGAGGGACGTCACATTTATGATCATCGCCTTCGATGAAAATCATTCCAATCTCCAATCAGAGAGAGAAGAGAGAGAGAGAGAGAGAGAGAGAGAGAGAGAGAGAGAGAGAGAGAGAGAGAGAGAGAGAGAGAGAGAGCGCTAGAGCGAAATAGAGAAAAAGAGAGAAAGAGAAAAAAAGAGAAAGTGAGAGTGAGACGGACAGACAAGCAGACAGACAGAGAGAAAGAAAGAAAGAGAAAGAGAAAGAGAAAGAGAGAGAGAGAACGAGAGAAGGACGAGCGAGAGGCGCCACTTGGTCTCTAACCGTGAGAATGGTCGCCGAATTCCCTCAGTTCCTCCTCCAACGTCCGGAATGAAAACACGAAAGTTTCATTAAAAGTTTACTCAAAGACGTTCGCTCTTGCCAGAACTTTTACCTCGACTTATAAACAGGAAAAAAAAGAAAATCGAAAATCGTGAATCGATTCCAAAGTTGCGAAGGAAACTGAGCAATAGTGAGACAACAGAGAACGAAATCCTTGAAGATACATAACAATTTTTTTTATATATATTTCGTCCCGCCATTCCTCTTTTTTTATGTTTTATTTTCTTTAAGTTGGTGATGCACAGTTGTTTCTTAATTGTTGTTGGTTGAATTGTCCTTTGCGCTCTTTCTCGTGTTTATTTTTTTATTATTTTTTAAAAAATTACGGGGGGGGGGGGCAGATGAGATTTATAAATGTTCTCGATTATTGTACGTTAGTGCAGATATATTCATCTGTAAATTAATTGATAGAGGAATAGCATACAACGCAGACCGATTCACGAAGCAGTGAAGCACTTGAACCTCCTTTTTTTCGAACCCACGCTTTTTCCTGCAATAGCGGACATAGAATCATGATGAACAGCTTAAATAAACACAATTTATATATCGAGTAATGAACACATACATAAATCACTATGTATAAAAATGCCACCCCTCCCCCCCAATAAGTGCGTATAATTCCTAAGATCCCATTTTCTACGGCCTCATAACCCGACGTTCGAAATGCCACGCGCCAGAATCCCGGTCCCTTTCTGGTCACGAACATGGAATCCAATAGCAATGAGGAAATCTCCGTTTTCTTAACAACGTTTCCTCGTTTTCTGTTGAGTGGGATTTCACTCCATAACAAGCGGGAACATTTTAGGTTTTTTTTTTTAGCTCCCTTTTTTCGCACGGATTAAACGCAGTCTGGTGTTAAAAAGAAAAAGAAAAAATATATATACGCGTGTGGATGTATGTATGTTAGTGTTCGTGATGGTGTTTTTTTTATTTTCATATACGCGTGTGAAGTATGTCTGTTCGTTTGCGTTCGTGATTGATTTTTTTTTTGTTTATCTCCGCACTCGTGTGTGTGTACGTCCACACAAAAAGACATAAAAGACACAAGTCTAAAAGTCCATCAAGTAATGCTCGCACTCGCGTCCTTTTCTGCGTATCAACACCGCGCGTCCCAAGGAGGCTCGGCAGGAGCGTGAAATGATATTGTAGCACGCATTGTGAGCGTCTTCTTTGTGGCGCTCCGGACCCATATCTTCCCGTCCACTGGAGACAATGCGGGGGAGGGTCTTGGGTGTCTCCCCCCCCTGCCCCTGTGTGCCTACTCTGCCCCTCTGTGTTCCTCCTCTGTCCCCTTCTCTGTATTTCCCCTGCCCCCTTTCCCCTGTGTACCTCTGCCCCTGTATGTTCCCCCTGTCCCCTTTCCCCTGTGTACCCCTGCCCCCTGTGTGCTCCTCTGCCTCCTTTTCCCTGTGTACCCCTGCCCCTCTGTGTTCCCCCCTGTCCCCCTTCCCCTGCTCCTCTGTGCTCCCCCTGCCCCCTTCCCCTGTCCATCTGTATTCCTATGCCCCCTTCCCCTGCCCCTCTGTGTTCCCCCTACCCCTTTCCCCTGCCCATCTGTATTCGTCTGTCCCCCTTCCCCTACGCCTTCCTCTCCCCCTTCCCCGGCCCCTGCCCCTGTGCTAGCCTTGCCCTGCCAAGCACGGCGTTCTGCTTCGCGGA